TACCTTTGTACCATAGGAAAATTCACAAGCCAAGACAAAAGATAACCTAATACATTTCCTTGCCTTACTTACAATTTCTGTAATTTTAGATGGATCATTCCAGGTATGTTTTCAGGAGATGTTGTACCTGCTTGGTCTCTCCCTCCATCCGGAGAGGGAACAAACAAAGAGAGACACAAACAAATTCTCGCCTCCCCCTCCCCCCAGATTTGAAAGTATCTTCTTTCCTCATTGGTCTCTCTGGTCAGGTGCCAACTAGGTTATTTGAGCTTCTTAACCTCTTATAGGTAAAGTGATTTAGTACACTGCCAAAGAGGGATTTTATGCTACCCTTCTCTTTATATTTATGACAGACACTTAGAGGAAATAGCTAGTTCACGGACATCCACCTCTCAGTTTTAAAGAACTCTTTCCTCCTTTCTTTGTATAAAGAGCAAGCTCCCAGGCTTTTATCTGCTTATCTCATCCTCCAGTGGCTCTAGTGTCCCAACTGCTTGCCCTGCTAGAATCTGGGAAATGCTCCTTCCTTAGGTGGTTAGCAGCTGTAGCACTGTCGTGGGAGAAGATGGTGTGATGCTGCATGATTGAATATGACAATTTTTATCATTGTTGCTACCACAGTTATGAAATGTTAACAAATCTTGTTCAAAGCATGTCATGGTGTCATGTCATGTCATGTCAGGTGTCAATAGGAAAGTTATGATTTGCTAAATCTGATTATCCTGTTTATATGCATGTATAAGAACATATGAATGGTCATACCGGGTCAGATAAAAGATGCATCTAGCCCAGAATCCTGTCTTCTGACAGTGGCCAGTGCCAGGTGCCACAGAGGAAATTACAGAACAGGTAATAATCAAGTGACCCTTCCCCTGTCACTCATTCCAAGCTTCTGGCAAACAGAGGCTAGGGACACCATCCTTGCCCATCCTGGCTAATAGCCATTGATGGACCAATCTTGCATGAAAGTATCCAGTTCCTTTTTGAACCCTTTTAAAGCCTTGGCCTTCACAACATCGTCTGGCAAAGAGCTTCATAGGTTGACTGCATGTTGTGCGAAGAAATAGAATATCAGGGTTGGAAGGGACCTCAGGAGATCATCTAGTCCAACCCCCTGCTCAACGCAGGACCAATCCCCTGACAGATTTTTGCCCCAGATCCCTAAATGGCCTCCTCAAGGATTGAACTCACAACGCTGGGTTTAGCAGGCCGATGCTCAAACCACTGAGCTATCCTTCCCCCCGATACTTCCTTTTGTTTGTTTAAACCACTGCCAATTAATTTCATTTGGTGACCCCTAGGTCTTGTGTTATGAGAAGGAGTAAACAACACTTCCTTATCTACTTTCTCTACACCAGTCAGCATTTTATAGACCTCAATCAAATCTCCCCTTAGTCACCTCTTTTTCAACCTGAAACGTCCAAATCTTATTAATCACTCCTCATACGGAAGCGATTCCACACCCCTAATAGGTGGGTTTTTTTGCCCTTTTCTGAACCCTTTCCAATTCCAATATATCTTTTTTGAGGTGGGGGTACCACATCTGCATGCAATATTCAAGATGTGGGCGTAGTATGGATTTATATAGAAGAAATATGATATTTTCTGTCCTAATTTATATATCATCTTTCTGTGTGAAATACTGAATATTGGTCAGGAACTTTTATCAAACACATGTGTTGTGTTCCTGGATAACACTCCTCTGGTAGATAAGGCCACACAGCTATGTGTTGAGGGACTATCAAGGACACTTACCTCTCAAAATGGGTCATAGAAGAAATACACCTCTCTAAGAATATGATCAATAACTGTTCTTGTGAGTCATCAAAGCATGTAAGGACACGAGATATGCTCATGTGACCTGGACTCCAACTTGGGCCAGTAATTTTCAGGCACTTGGACTGTGGGCTTTGTTTGGGACTGTAAAATTCCATGCACAGGGCAGAAGATATAGATGGACCCCTGAGACATCTCCATCTTGTCTTCATTTCTCTGGACTGGGCTTCCAAGAAGGAAGCTCTGAACAAGGACTGATGACCCCCAACCTGCTTGAGTAATTCTCGGAGAGACTTTTACAAGCTAATAGTTTAATCCACCACTGCTATGATGCTGATGTATGAACACTGAAAAAAACACTTGGATGTATATCATCTATTAACTATTTATAACTCTTCTTTTTTAAATTATTTAACCTTAAGAGTTTAGTTACTAATGGATTAGCAGCAGTGTGATTAGTGGGTACGATCTGAGTTATATATTGGCCTGGCTAAGTGGCTGATCTCTTATGTGGCGAAATTGGTTTTCACTAGCTGCTCATTAGGATTGTTGCAGAGCCCAAGAGGGCCCCGTGATACTGTCTGCACAGAGAATGGCCAACACTCTGTCTCCTGGCAACTAATGGCCTGGGCCCCTCCGCTGCAAGGTGCCAACTGAAGGTATTGTAGAACAAAGAGATCAGGTGACCTCCTGGCCCGGGAAAGGGACAAAGGCAGAGGAGGGGCTGGAGAGTTTCAATTTGGAGCTGGCTGGGAAAATGGAGGGGAGGCCAGAACTCCTCTGCCCCTCCCCCAAGATGGACCTGACTGAGGGGTCCTGTTGTCTGTACCTGCAAGATCAGTCTTGGACTGTGTTCCTGTCATCTAAATAAATCTTCTGTTTTAGTGGCTGGCTGAGAGTCATGGTGAATTGCAGGAAGCCAGGGGTGCAGGGCCTTGTCTTCCCCAACTCCGTGACATGCACAATCTTGCTCGCCTGCCTCACAACCCTGCTCCCAACCCTCAGCTGTTTTTATACAGCTGTGATGGGTTCCCCCAGAGTGTCACCTGGAACTGGGGTAGCACTCAGCCACTGAACCCACCAGCCTGTGCTCCCTCTTACTGTACTGCTGTGGCAAGCTGTAAAGCCCTCCAGGATTCAGCCTGCACTTTCACCAGTATACTTACGGATAGGGACACACCAAGCTGTTACATGTAGACGGGCTCTCTGACCAGACCCTGCCTGGGAAGGCTGAACCTGGGGCACCTTCCAGCTTCTCAGGGACAAATCCACTCGGGAGTATAAACCCAAAATTATACCGTCTTGCATTACACAGTGAACTCTACATCACAAGATCATAAAATTTGCCCCCACTCTCAATATGGATAGGAATATATAGCAGCCTTTTGCCCCTGAATTATGATTCCCACATAATGGTTTAGATAAAGTAAAACAAATTTATTAACCACAAAAGCTATATTTTAAGTGATTATAAGGGATAGCAAAGAGATTAAAGCAGATTACCTAGAAAATAAACAAATTACACAAACTAAACTTAAAATACTAAACAGATTGGCTATGAATAGCAGGTTCTCACCCTAAGAGATGATACAAGCAGGCAGCAGATTCTTATGGGGCAAGCTGCACTTGCTTTACAGCTTGCAACCCCCAGGTGTTCCATTCACAAGGTAAAAATCCCTTTAGCATGGGTCCAGCACTTTCTCCAGTTCAGTCTTTGCTCCTCAGGTGTTTCTAGGAGTCTTCTTGGGTGGGGAGTGAAGAAAATCAGATGATGTCACTCCCTGCCTTATATAGCTTTTGCATACAGTGGGAACCCTCCCCTCACAGATGTATGCCAATCCTAGCCCACAGAAATGCAAGGGTAAACTTATAAACAATTGTTATTGTTAAGTACTAATTACTGCCTTTTTGCTTTAAATCTCCAGGAATGTACCTGTTGGTCAACCGGGAGAGCTGCTACCTCATTCCCCTGGACCCCAAAATTAGGATTTAACCTATACACTTGAAGAGACATAGTTCGGGGGTAATTACCTGTGTGTCAGCAATATGTTAATTTGAGCCTTGGGCGGAGCCATTATGTAATTTTTTAGACCATTGGCTTATTGTGCTTATCTTGTCTTGCTGCTAGAACCTATCCAGGGGCTTGGGGAAACCCATCCCCGTTGCTTCTCTCTGCCCGGTGAGCACCCTATATAATCTATTGTAATTAATTGCTCTACAGTGTCTCTGAGCCTAATAAGCAAAGTGACACTCAGCCAGCGCTGTGCGTAATAAACTCCTGTGCTTGACTCTACACAGTGTGGCTTTATGTTCCTTCATATAGTGATCAAAAGCCTCATGCAGAGCATACGTTAGACTCAGCTTCACCGTTCAGCTTCAGCCCCAGGGCAATGGGTGCCCTGTAGTTCCAGATATGGTGCTGTGTACGTGTGTAAATAGCCAGCTAATGGAAGCTGTGCCATTTATCTCCCTCCCTGTGAGCTACCGAAGCCACCCCGGCTTCTCCACGGCTTTCCCTGGTAACACAGGGGCTTATACTTCTGCCTCTCTTGGCTGTTGTCCTCCTAGCTTCTAAGCTGATCCCTTAAGCAAGACTCAGAGCAAATGGCTCCCAGCCCATCCCCATAGCAGCTACAGGCCCACAGCCAATAGGAACAAAAGGGAATGGAGAGCTTAAGAAGTAAGCCAAACAGGCTTCTACCTTCCCTCAGAACTTTTTAGCTGAGCTTTAGTGCCCATAAACTGTATGATGCACAGCCTCACCTGCCTGCCTCACAACCCTCAGATGCTTTTATATGCCTTCATGGCTTCCCTCTCTGCTCCTGATTGCCCTGTCACCAGGTTTCTTGCTACACTGACTGCAGGCTCCTTCTCAGGCTGCAGCAGCCCCTCCAAACCTGGAGCAGAAGAAGCCCCACTGGAGTGGTGGGGGAGAGAGGTGGAGATGATCCAGAGAGTGACAGAGGGATGAGAAGAGGGAGCAACAGTGATGGGGTCTTGGGGAAGAGTCAGGAGAGAAGGCAGAGCCTCCTGGGTCCAGTTTCCAGCAACTGGAAAGATAGTAACCCTCTGAGTTAAGGAGTTGTACACAGACAGATTCCCCAGTTTGTCATGCCGACACAGCACAGTAAGGCCACAAAAGGGTTTAATGTCACTTTGTCCAGTCAGTGATTCAGGGAAGAGAACTCAACACCATGTCATCAGCCAGCTCAAAAGAGAAAACTTTAGCTCCCTTTATAAGTAAAGAGCCGAAGCAGTCTATCCTGGATCTCTTTGGTCCTCACCCCGTAGATGATGAGGTGTAGCATAGGGGGCACCAGGAGGTACATGTTAGCAATGAGAACATGGAAATGCAGGGGCACATTGTGGCCAAACCGGTGCATGAGAAAGGAGAAAAGACGTGGTATGTAAAAGGCTAAGATGGCACAGAGATGGGAGCCGCAGGTCCCAAAAGTCTTGAGCCGAGTGTCCTTTGTGCGGAGACTGAATATGACCCTGATGATCTGAGTATACGACGTAGCAATAAAAAACACATCCAGTCCGCTCACAGAGAATGCCACAAAGAGGCCATAGTAACTACTGATGCGGATGTCAGCGCAGGCTAGCTTCACCACGGCCATGTGCTCGCAGTATGTGTGGGGGATGATGTTGGTTCTGCAATATGGCCACCAACTCACCAGCAAGGGAAAGGGCAGTGCAAGCATGCCACCATGCAGCACCACTGCCAGGCCGATCTTGGCCACCACAGAGTTTGTTAGTGTGGTGGAATGTCTCAGGGGATCGCAGATGGCCATGTAGCGATCAAAAGCCATGGCCATGAAGATCCCAGACTCCATCGCTGAGAAGCAGTGAATGAAGTACATCTGGGTGAGACAGGCTCTGAAATCAATCTCCCTGGAATTGAACCAGTAGATGTCCATCATTTGGGGCAGGGTGGATGTAGTCAGTAACAGGTCCATTACGGCCAGCATGCTGATGAAATAGTACATGGGCACATGGAAGCTCGGCTCCCTCTTCACAATGAATAGGATGGTGAAATTCCCCAAGAGGGCTATGGCGTACATGGTGCAGAAGGGGATGGAGATCCAGACATGGACCGTTTCCAGGCCAGGAATGCCCAGCAGGATGAAGCTGGAGGGGTTGATGAAATCGGTTGTGTTGGAATCTGACATGGAGGCGGGGAGACAGTGTTCAACTCTGAGGGAGAATAGTGTCTCCTATATGTGTGGTAGAATGGTGTCTCTTCCCCTGACTTCTTCTATGTGCCCAGGATCTAGGGTGATGATCACAGTAGAAATGCCTGGATGGAGAGACAATGTAAATATGAGACGCTACATGCACTTCTGGTGGATGTTCTCATGGGTGAAGCATCTTGGTCTCTCTTTAGGTATTGAAAAATGACATTTTCATTATTCAGAGAAATGAATTATGAACAATTGACCTGAACAATGCTAATTCCATATTTGATGCTGCTCCATGCATCAATAATTCCTACGTGTCCTGGTCAGAAGAAAACAGAAGTATAAATACTGATTATTCATCATTGTTCCTTAATGCAATGAAACCAAAGCTAGAGAATCCATGCTGTAGAGAGTTCCCCATTCAGCCGGTTGCTCAAAATCTGAGAGTGTAAGAAAACTAAAGTTTTGGCAAGACACATGCCAGGGAGAAACATCACAACTAGAACACACATCAGGGAAAAGACCTGGATGTCATTGATAGCAGCTCCATGGAAACACCTATTCATTCGCAGCAGTGCCAAAAACAAAGACAATGTTCGGATGTCTAAGCAATGGGATGGACATGTGCTCAGTTTTGGACACTCAGTCTTTATAAATGGTGTAGCATACAGAAAGGGGATTTCTGAGACAGGCTGTGAGAATGGGGGAGGTTGCCATTAACAGACAGACTGAAAAGTCGGGACTGCTTAGTTTAGAGAAGAGACAAAGAAGGAGGCCGATGATAGAGGAGAACAAAATAAAAGAATCAAACTGATTACATTCAAAGGGACAAACAGGAAACAGTTCCCAACCTATAATATCTATCGAGACTGAATGCTACAAAAGGGCTAATTCGTGAAAGCTGAAGCAAATTATCAGGAAAACTGATTGGGAGGTAACATTTAGAAAGAAAAATGGGAATGAAACTTGGAAGTTCTTTAAGAAGATTTAGTAGACAGCTAAATGGCCATGATTCCACAGTCAAGAAAGTGGACAGTTTGGCTAAAAACCAGGTTCAGTGGCAAAGGGAAGGCCACAATTTGAGGCAAGGGGGAGGGGGAAAGCAATATATAATACATGAGGGAAAGGGTAAATAGCCAGCAATACAAATTGGAAGTTATGAAAATTGATAAGCGACATTAAACACATCAGGGAAAAATCCATGCTTGTTAGGGCTAAGGATCAGAAAAATGAGGTTATTAAGAAGATAAAGAACTAAAGAAATTCTATAAAAGGTTCAGGGCAATTTCTAAAGGGAAAAGTCGACTTATTTATGATGCAGAAAAGGTAGAAAATGTTCAAGAAATAGTTTTGTGGGGGGCTTATTTAGTCTTCAGAAGAGAAGAAAGAGGGGGGATTTGATAGCAGCCTTCAACTACCTGAAGGGCGGGTTCCAAAGAGGATGGAGCTTGGCTGTTCTCAGTGGTGGCAGATGACAGAACAAGGAGTAATGATATCAAGTTGCATTGGGGGAGGTCTAGGTTGGATATTAGGAAACACTATTTCACTAGGAGGGTGGTGAAGCCCTGGAATGGGTTATCTGAGGAGGTGGTGGAATTTCCATCCATATATGTTTTTAAAGCTCAGCTTGACAAAGCCCTGGGTGGGATGATTGTAGCCTGACCAAAGTTGGGTATATATAATGGTAACTTGAGGATTAACAGGTTCTTGTCGCAAGATCAGACCCAGTAAGATTGCTACTTTCAGTTCCCTATAACTTATAAGTTACTTAAGTTTATCTATACCAAAGGTTATAGGCCTCAAGCCTCACACTATCTATTAAAGCCAAATGTTACAGGATAAAAGCCTGTAGGTTCGTTGCATTACTACTAAATATAATAAAGAAGAATAACAAAGCAATGAATATAATACAGGTAAGTTGGCCCACTGGGCTACATGATTTAGTTGGCATTAGTCCTGATTTGAGCAGGGACTTGGACTAGATGACATCCTGAGTTCTCTTCCAATTTTATCTTCTATCATTATATGAGTATTGGAGCAAACAGCTTAGTTGAATGGGATTCACAAATTGATTGGGTATTGTAGGTTGCAGTGGTAGCACCAATGTTAGTTAAGGCTGTCTGACACCTTAAATTAGAAAACCTGATTTTTGGTTGCTTATAAGTTTGCCAATCTTTAAGTGTTTCGACTGAAATTTGCCATGCTGGGAATCTACATCCAGCGGAATAGTTGTTGTTGTTTTTTTGAAAGATTCAGGCATAACTGTTCAGCCGACTTCTCAAATAAAGCTAGGAGAGAAAATACGTTACCTATGTTGAATAATTCTTATGCTTATTTCAATTAGGATTCCTAGTACCTCCATGCTTTCCAGCAGGTAAAAGTCAGGTAACACCACCCCACCACCTCTCCACTCCTGTTAACAGCCAGAGCTTTCAGATGCAAGAAGAGGAGGTGACAGTCTCTGTGCATTAACACACAACTGGATCCTGAGATCTTTACACAGTTCTTACACAAAGGGCAGTTTTGCCTCAGTGGAGCCTGAGTAAAAGTACAGGCCATGCCCTCAGTACATCTACTAACACCTTAAACCTGAACGATCCCCTGTGCTTCTGAAATGCAGCCACCTCGGGGCTGGAGGCCATCAGCTGTGTCAGGAGGGGGTGCTCAGGAAGGAATGACATTTTGGCCAGTGATACTGGAGCAAACTCATCCCCTGTGGCAAGGTCCCTGGGATGTTTAATGGCTGTGCAGAGTAGAGAGGACTACAGACTTACACTCTATCCTATTATGTCCATGTTGAACCATGTTTGTTAAGCAGGTGAGCGCCTCAGCAGGAGATGGGTACCTGTGAATTCTGAAATGGAAGCATCTTCCCTGGGAATCCCCCTCAGGTAGCCGTGTTCCACACCGCTCTCACCCCAGCATCTGCATCAGCATCCCACGTCGAGAGCCGACACATGGGTGTGCACCATTTATAATATAGCTCTGTGCAATCCCATTGCAGTTCGCTCAGCCTCTAGCGGAGAAGCGACCTCTGAGACAAGCTGGAGACAAGCCTGTCTCCGTTTCTGTGCTATTTATCCTGCTTTAGAAGTAAACAGTAATTAAGGGACCTTCCCAAAGGGAGATGAGAACTGTTGTGCTCTGTGCTGAATGAGAGAGGAATTGGCTGCTCTGTACATTTGTGTATATTTAAAAATTATAGTTGATTATTAAGAAAGCTAGGCATAGCACCTAGCTCTCCATAGGGTCTGACACCCTGTAAATACCCAGCAGGAATGTGTAGATAGTAGACAGATAGATCTGGAGAAAGGTGAGGGGAGACACGAACACATTCTGCAGACACACAGGGCAATCACTACGGTATCAGAGATCAGTAATTCTCCTCAGTAACTATCATCATACAGTGCAGCACCTTTCATTGAAGGATCTTGAAAACAACTAGCAAATGAAAGTCATTATGAAAACATTCCTATTATACAGATAGGTAAACAGAGGAAATGGTAAACATGACTTGGCCGAGGTCACAGAGAGAATGACAGAGAGAACCCAGGAGTCCTGCCTTCCCTGCTATAACCACTAACTTTCCATCCATAACTGAGCACATGAGAAGAAGGAAATAGAATCATGGTCTAGCAGGGCCTGTTCATTGGGTGGGTATGATTGACTTCCCTGGGGTGGAAGCTGGAATTGGGGTATTTCTAAGCCCTCTGACATACCAATCTGGGCCCCCTCTCATACATGAAGCTGTGACAAGCTGTAATCCTCTACCGGTCTTGCACTTACACAGCCATACACAGACAGGGTTATACCCAAGTGCAGTTTCATGAATGCTTTCACTAGCCACTCATGAACCAACAACTGAGAGTCTGAAGACAGTTCCCCCAGGATCCCAGCTGTGGATCCCAGAGGTGTATAGTCTTGCCCAGGTCAGAAGTCTGACTGGTGTAAGTTTATTGCACTGAGTGCAGCATGTATGATTACCTGCCCTGTGGGCAAGTGATGTATGTGTGCATTCGGTGCAAGGAGCTCCTGGCCCTCAGAGACCATGTACGGGATTTGGAGTCCAGGGAAGTGGAACTGGAGGAGCTAAGGGAGGTAGAGAGGTATATTGATGAGGCTTTCTGGGACACTATAGAATTGTTCCACCTCCGGTCAGACAGTCCCTGCGCTGTTGAGGAGGATGAAAGGCCCAGGGAAGCAGAGAAGTCAACGGGGGCAGAGGGAAACTTTCTGTGGGGAAAAAGAACTGGGTGGCCTTCTTTATGACAGCCAAAGTAACACCGAAGGCCCAAATTCAGGCCCTCTGACAGAGGCTCGGTATACTGATTGCCCTTACAAGAGGCAGTACAGGCCAGGGCCTGAACAAGACTAAGCTGTACAATTCCCTGCCAAATTCGGTCAAGGGTTATGACCAGAGGAGGGAGGGGGAGGGAACAATGCGGAAGGCCTCAGCAACATAATAACCACTTTTTTATGAAATATAATAACCGCTTATAACCGCTTATATGAAGAAATCGCTTCTAGTAAAGGTCAACTTCTCCTGTAGTTCCAGCTAACTGCCAAACTAGCCAATCATATATCTTCTTTGGGTGTCCTGTGATAAACCCCTATGCCCTTAACCGTAAAACCCCGGAAAAATAATATGTACCTTGACGAGAAAAGCGTTCCAACTGATGCCAAGTACCACCCATGGCAGAAACCACCAAGAAACCCCCCACCCAATAGGCACCCAATTCTCGGAAAAATAATGAGGAAGGTACCGAGAAAGGGGACAGACCCCAACTCTTATTTTTTGCAAATGACGTATTATTTGTACTATGCTTGCGGTTTGAAGGAATAAAAGCAGCCTGCGTACTGTGCTAAGGGTAGTAGTTTTCGGACTGCTACCCCAATGCGTTGGTATGTACTGCAATAAACTGGCCTCAGGCTTGAGTCTGTGAACTAAAATCAATGTGTGGGTGACTTTTTCCATGACACTTCCCATAGTT